GGTTCGCCTAGCTGCATAATACTATGTTCGCAAAAACAAAGTACGTAGTACTAAAACAGAGCACAAATTCGAATTGAGCATGACAGCATTTTTCAAGCAATCAAACAATTTCTTGCAACACTATAGTGATTATTGTGACAAATTGAACAAGGATTGCTAGCAAAAACGTCAAGAACAAACCACATTGTTCTTCACGACCTTAAGAGGTCCAACAATGGCAGATTGCTCATTTCTTCACCAAATTGAGTAAACAAGTCTCAAATTACTCCCAAGGCAATATATAAACATAAACAAGAAATTTCATGGCATAAAACTTGACAAACAAAGCAAATTGAGCATCATAGAATTTGAATTTTCATGAAATTCGTGAATGTTCATGCCAAGAATTCGTAAAAACCGGTGTGAGTTTGAGGAAAACTTACATAGATCGGGAAAATAGATGAGAAGAGCTTTGATTTACAACAAATTTGAGCAAATTTAGTTGAGAAACGAGCAAGCAATGAGCAATTAAAGTTTCGGACTTCTTTCGAGCAATTTCGCGACGAACAGAGCAGCAAACAAAGAAGAAACGGGAATTTAAAGAAAAACCCGTGCTGGTGCCAGTCCCTAGGCATTGGCGTCATAATCTGGGCTTGGCACCTGGCGCCAACACCAGCGCCTGGCGCTAACACTAAATGGCTGACGCTGATGGTTTTTCAGCGACGCCAAAGCACCCAGCCACCTGTTGAGGTTGTGCTAGCCTTCTGCAATATATTTTTGGGTTCCTTGGTACGCCAGTTAGCCCCTCTAAGAAATTTGACATGATTAAGCAATCGGCTTGATTACATAAAGTGATCAACCTGATAAGAGATCGTCTCACTTAGCTTTAAGTGCCTAAGCATTGGCTCATTGGCAAAAGGCACCGACATATAGGTTCAAGAGCAAAGGGCACCGACATACAGGTTCAAAGCAATAGAGCGCCGACGTACAGGCATAGCGGAGGCAAAGTTCAGGCAAACTTTTAAAGATCGACAGGCGTGGATCTTCGGTAATTTCCTTTGGAAAATTATCGTATCAAATGAGGATGACTTCAAGAGAAGATATCTTCGACATCATTCCCTAGCTTGCGGAGATTTGTCACAAACAACGGAGGATTATTTCAAGAGAAATAATTTTCAATAGTGTTCCCTAGGATGTGGAATATTATCAATGCGGATGAGGATTGTTTCAAGCGAAATAATCTTCGATGGTATTCCCTAGGATATGGAATATTATCAATGCGGAGGAGGATAGTTTCAGGCAAAGCAATCTTATAATTTGGAAGCAGTTACAGGCGTAGCGGTTTTCAAGCGGGATGACATTCTCTAGCTTGCAGGAGGTCATCAAAACAATCGATTACTTTCCGAGACGTGTGCTCGACGGTGCAAGATACGCGTTTCTTAACTCTTTTATCTTTTTAACTAATGCTAGTTTTGCAGGTATCGGCGTTATAAGATTGGTTTAGGATCGCAGAACGTTCTGAATCATTCTCCGTCCCTATCGATACTTTGACTTTCGTTTTCGAAACTTGTGTTTCTCCAAACTCAGTCAAAGTGGGGGCTTCTGTAGACGCCAATTTGTGTCTCCCGAAAACCAAACCTAGTGATAAGTACCTTTCACGTCGAATCATAATCGAATGAAACGAAAGTGTGGAAGGACTAGTGTTGCGGAAAGTTTTTATTTCTTTTCTCTTCTCTCTGTTTTTGAAAACTTTATTTTAAGAAAACAGCCAATACAGTTTGGTTGGTCCATGATATAGGTCCAATAGTAGTGTAGTTGGATGGGGCTTGCAAAGACCTTTCCAACGATATATTATAAGCCCAATTCCGATGAATATTGAGGAAGTTATGGCCAATTTACTAAACTGGGACCGGTTTGAGCTTTATGTACGGCCCAATGATCTAGAGGAGGGCCTAATATGATTTATCATTCCTAATGCAATTAGGAATGGTTTTGGTCCTCTAGAATCTTCTAGAAGGTTCTTTTCATTCCCAATTCAATTAGCATTGATAAGTTGACTTCGTTGACTTTTTAGAATTTTAATCAAAATCAAATAGCATTTTCGAAGAAATTATATTATTTTATCTTCCAGTACGGTAAACTTATCGAATTTTCGAAAACGCGTTATAATCAAGACTGGCGCCCAACCCCAGGCCTTGGCACCTGGAACAAGGCTTGGCGCCAGACGCTAGCCACTGGTGCCTGGCGCCAGCTAGCCAGGGTTGGCGCCAACCTTGTTTCCTGAGCGTCAGACTCTGTTTTGTTAAATTATCTTTTTTGGCTGATTTTCTCTATAAATATCGTATCAAAAACTCCGTTTTCATTTATCATCTACATCTATCATTCACCAATTCTCCTCAATAATTAATTCTTTAGCATTCTTTAATTCATTCAATTCTTTCTTTCTTTTTCATACAAAATTCCGCATTCACAAGATCTAGAAACACCTAGCCATATTCGAAGTTGCCTTCGTCCTAGACGTGAAAGGTTTAATTTCTGAAGGTTTGGTCCCAAATCTCTCTTTCAATCATTTAATTTAATTGTTTTGATTATTATTATCCTTGAAGTTACTAACGTGTGTATTTTGTTATTAGAAAGAGGTACGAGGCATCAAAGTATGTACTTTAATTGATTTATTGATGTTATGATGTAGACATCATGTTTATATTGTTGTTATGATGTTCCTAGTATCATGTCTAGGTTATTTTTAATATTAAATATGATTGTTATGATGATTCCTATGTTCTTCCTAATATTAATTCATGTTAGTATCATGTTAGGGCTAAAGATTTGATTTTTATTTCTTAGTGACATGCTAGGGTTTGTTATTAATCTTGTTAGTATCATGCCTAGGATCTTGCTATTTTTATTATGCTTTAACATTAACATGATTATGATTATAATCGTTACAATTTATGAATATTATTATTATTGTTATTATTATGATGATGATTATTCAATTTATGATGATTATGAATATTATTATTATTATTATTATTATTATTATTATTATTATTTTTATAACGATTATAATTATTGTTATGATTATTATTATGTTGCTTGATATACATTATTTATTCTTTATTGCTTGATCACCTTTTTATGCATGTTTAAAGGGAATTTGTACTTGTAATCATGCTTAATAAGATAATTAATAATCTTGTTAGGTTAACTTTGATTATAATTCAAGTGATCGCCAATAATAGATTTATTTGTGCATTAAATTCAACCAACATAGATTAAGCAGGTTTAGGGTTAATCCTATTGATTGAATGTTAATTGGAAAGTGCACATGAATACGAGCAGAATAAAGTAGAGGCCTATTATTAGGGCAGGTTCAATCTCTTTTAGGTTGGATTTGTACCTTCATCCCCGAACCCTTATTTGGTTCATAACCTTATGGAGTTGACGATCTCTTGGATCGTTAAGGGGTGTAACCTTCACCTCGTGAACGGTTTACAAGTTCCTTAAAAACTTGTTGGCGACTCTTTTGCTCTATCTTCTTCCCTTTTGGACGCCACCGTACTTTAGTGTATGATCACAGTGGGGTTCAAGCTAGTGGGATTTTAAAGGCTTGAAATTATTCCCTACAACATCAGAATAATATTAATGTGAAACTATTACATAGCAATAACCAATTATATAAAAATTTACACAAATATTATAAATCTATAATTAGTAATATTCTACATCCTTTCATCTACTTTTCTATAATTTTAAAATTATACATTTATCATTAATACTGATATAAAAAAATACTCATATTGCTAACTATAGGCATTTATCATTACAAAACAAAAAGTACTCCCTATTATATTACTGATATTAAAAAACTGAAGGAAAAAAAAATCATGAACATAAAAACTATAAATGTTAGAAAACTTATCTTATAAAGCAAGCTTAAATAACATCCTCCCTTAAAAAAAGGAAGCCTAAATATACATACCAACTTTTAAAGTTTGCATTTAATGAAAATACTGTTGACTCTTAGCCAATCATATCTAATTGACAAAGACAAAATCTTTTCTTGTGCAATGAAACAATTGTTTAACCAATATTCTACAAACACAAATCTATTTAGAGAAGAGCAGTTGGACAGCTTGCTTCAACTTATAAAAGGATTTGTCATCATCAATTCCCATTTCTACAATTCACACTACCAACTCTCATAGGAAACAACATACTCTGATATAGTCTGCTGTCATAAGGTAAGTTGTTCTTCCCTGCAAAATAGTTTTAAATTAATTATTCTCCATTCATTGTTATTGATTTATACTCATTATAGTTACCATTAATGCACAACAAATTATTCCTCATAAATGCACAACAGATTATTTCAGTTAGTTCCATTAATGAAAACAAAATTATGTTGCTAAGAATAGAACACCCTACATATGCCCTTTTGTTATATGTAATTAATGAAAATAAAATGTTATACAATATCTAGCATAATATATACTTATACTTGCATAATATATACTTATACAGATAATATATACTTATACTTGCATAATAATCAATAAAAAATAGTATAGTCACTTTCTTACAAAATCTCATATAACCCTGTATTAAAGTGATTCTGGATAACAGTGTACTATCTTAAAATGTTGCTAATTGAACCCCTGTAACTATATACTTATAATTACCTCATTAGGAGCACCTGTAACTACTTGTACTTCTTACAAAATATCATATGATCATGTATTAAAGTGATTCTGGATAACAGTGTACGATCTTAAAATGTTGCTAATTGAACCTCTGTAACTATATACTTATAATTACCTCATTAAAATCACCTGTAACTACTGGTATTTGGACCTCGATACGAATTACGTAGAATAACTTCACTGGTCAAGGTTTACTCCTATCTTAATGATCACAAAATTTGGGTTTCAGTTTTACACATACTTATACTAATCACACTTACCTAGATTTACACATGACACTAAACCTTTTTCTATTACATGCTGTAGGAAAACACTATGAAACAGGAAAAAGGCCAATCATCTAATCAATCTTTCTTAAAAGATCTCAAGCCTAATTCAAGAAACTACAAAGTTAAAGTGCAAGTTATTGAGAAATCTCAGGTTCTTATTTCTCCACACAAAAAACAAAATTTGTTGTTGTCACATTCAAAGATGATGAGGTATTCTCTGATCTTAGTTTTTAAAAATTTACGATACATGTACATGATTTTCTCTAAGTTAACGTTGTCTTCCCTAGGGAACCAAAATGAAAGGAACTCTATTTGAGAATCAGATCCAAGAGTATGGAGACATTTTTCAGAAAGACAATGTTTATCAGATTTCTAATGCCCCATTGGAGCCTGTACATCCAAAATATAAAGACCGAGATGGTGATTGCTCAATTAGATTTGGTGGACAAACAATGGTCCAACCTATTGCTACTGAAGTTACTCCAAACAAAGTGCAATATGTCCCTCTTGCCTCAGTTTCATATGAAAGTGGCCCAGATGATCGTTATGGTATTGTAGACACTACTCACTCTTTCACTTCTGTAATAAATTTGTAAGATGCATTCATAATCAAATAAATAACCATGATAAACACAAATATCCTAGGTTTGGTGCTCTTCATCAGTGATATAAGAACAAGAATAACTGAAACAGGTATTGAACATTCAATTCGGGACATCAGTGTGATAGACCACAGGTCAGTGCAAATTCTCCTATAAGCACACTACAATTTCTAATGTTATATAAGCACTTGGCTAATATTTTCAGCTAACAATTGTTTATTTACTTTTGCAGTACCACAGTGCAAATGACTATCTCTATATGGAATGATCTCACAGACATTAAAGATCCTAAACTACTTTCATGGAACACTGAACCAGTTATAGCTGCCTTCCTAGGATTAAGAGTGACAACAACAAGAGGTATATCTAATTATATTACTATACTCCTACACTAATCAACAATATATATACTGAGCAGCAATATAACTTTTAAATTATACAGGATTCATTCTCTCAAGCAGTCTCTCCACGACTATTGACACTAACCCTACTGGAGAAGAATTTGTAGCTTTTCATGACTGGTAAATTATTTCTAGAGACCAACAATATACTTCTCAACACATTTTATTGGCCATACACTATTACTAATATTCTATACATGACAATGATTTGAAGGGTGATGGCAAATTTTGAAGAGCTTGAAAACAAGATGACACAATTGGTAGATACCAAAAATCCAGCTGCAGAGAAAAGCATTCTAACAATTCAGCAAATTCTGGATAAAAAGGTTAAAATATATAGCTGGCTTCTCTATTTTACATTAGTCATCTCAATCTGCTTTTAAATTAGTATAATTTTTTGGATTTCTGTCTATTATTAGTCCTCCTAAACAATTCAGCAAGAAATCCATTGGGTTAAGGTCAAAATTCCTGAGCCAGACCAAGCTAGGCTGATTTCATATGAAGGATGTAACAAGTGTGGAAAAAGGGTTGATCTACCATTGAATAAATCAATGACTTGTCCAAAGTGCTTTAAACTAGATTGCACAAGTGTTCCTAGGTAAATCTACTCTTTCACATACTGTCACATAATCAATTGCTAGATTTATTTGATGTAAAGGCATATACTAAATATACATATGTTGGTTAATTTCCAGGACTACATTCAAGTTTGATGCAGTAGATGAGACTGGAGAACTAAGTCTAACAACTTTTGCAGAAGACTGTGAAAAATTATTTAAGCTACCAATAATACAAATATTTGAGCAAACAAACATTGTAAGCATTTCACCACCAAATCTATAATTTCTAATAATTTACACAAATGATTACTTACCATTTGATGTTATCAACTACAGGGAACGCTTGACTTTGGCTCTATTTCTCGAGACCTTAGCTCAAATGAGTTTTATGTTGCAGTTGGCCCATCATATATGTTGACAAAGAAGCAGGCTTTGTCATGGGTTTTGAAGGATGTCAGCTGGACTTAAGTTCCCAGCAATATCTAGGCTTCTGCTTTTGTGAAATGAGCAACCTCCATGCAATACAGCAGCCCTTTTGAATGATCAAATGCAAGCTGCCAACATTCAACAGAAGCAAACAACTTGAGTGTAATGCATGATAGAGAACATTGCACCTTACAACTTTTGCTGAACCAAACGTATCTATCCTAAGTATTTGTAAGAAATTTTAAGATCTTTTGATGTAACATAGTTAATCTATGCTGAAAACAAGTTTAACTATATTATTGTTGAATATTTTAACCTACTGTTTTCTTTTCCCTTTTGAAATTGTCTTTGATTGCTTACAACTCAACTTAAGAGAAAATTGTTAAAAATAGTTTTATCAATTCAATATAGAACATTATTCTCAAAAAAACAATAAGTAGTGACTTGTGTCTACGAATCATCTCCACAGTATTACAAAGTCAATGGTTAAAAATGATGGGAATAATTATTCTCAGACAATCATATATATCCAAATACCAACATAATAACTTAACTAAAGAACACCGTAAACTAATGAAAGAAATTACAACCTTCCTACATAAATCTGTCTTTAATACAACTACCAAGTGCAAGATCAACAAAACATTTCAATATATACATACAATACTAATCACAGAATTCATATATTGTCAAATTCAGGAAACAGTGAACTTATTCATAACAAAATTGAAACTCCTTGAAATAATAACTCCCCACGCAAACTAGATAAAGACACACTAATAACCATATTAGCAAAACTAAACTCATTACAAAATGAACAACCTCAAACGCTTCTAAACACAAGTGACTTACAATTCGAAATATGGAATTAGCATCTCGTAAGTATTTGAGCTATATTAACATTATGCCTATATTGAAGCTTACCTGCTATAATTTTAATTAGCAAATTGAAGGTTACCTACTATTGAAGCCTAAATTAACATTATGCCTACATTGAAGCTTACTTACTATAACCTTGAATCTGGTTTAGAACCTTGTTTTGTTAAATTTCATTTTAATTTACCTGTACTCAAGCTAAACTACAGTGTCACAAACCAACTGTGACCATACATCACAGCCTTAGTCCATCAAAGATGCACTATTACTGACAGCATTCAACAAAGGGGAAAGCAACAACATTATTTTTACTTTTTACTGATTTATAATTGTACCAACATTTTTGCTATAAATACACAACCTCTTGTCTCACCTATACACTAGCCAAAAGCAATACACACATCTCCTTCTCATCATCTAATTTCCAACATGTCTCTAGAAAAAACTCTACCCAAAAATACTTCTGACCTCCCTCTTATCAACCAGCGAACAATACGTGCTTATTTCCATATTCCATTACCAAAATTAAACCTTTACATTCGGTAGCAAAGTTATTGCTAATACATGGAATCGGTGGCAAAGTTTTTGCTAACGTTTTCCTAAAACTAGGTGCAATGTCAAGTACAATTAAAATATAATTGTTGACATTTATACTCCTAAATAACACCCAAGTTCAATAATACGCAACACGAGGTTGGGGTTTATGTGAAAGAAATGGCCATCCTTCACAAATAACACCACACTCCACCAAAGGACTTGGGAATGTTAGAAAAGGTCCTCCCTGTTAGGGGACTTAAGCCCATGGTGGATGAAATTGCTAGCGCCTGTTAGTCACCAAATTTATCTGCCAAAGGACTTAAGCCCATGGCGGATGAAATCGCTGGTGGTGAAAAATATCCACAGAATGCGGAAGAGGAAAGGATTTTTTTTTTATTTTTTTATAAAAGAGATTTTTTTTCATATGAATATATCAAAGAGGTTGAAATCAAGAAAAAAATGACAAATAGAAATGGGAAATCCTACAATTAAAACTATGGTTCTTGATCTCTAGAGACATGTGAAGGGAAAAAAGGAAAAACAAATTGACAGAAAGATCAGGGAAGAATGAAAGGAAAAAAAAGTATTATTTTGAAGAAGTAAGAAAGCAAGAAGGATAAGTATCATCCTTGCAATTCTATAGTGTAATCATATTCTGTACATTTCTATTTATTAGTTGTTACACCTCAATTATTGTAAACAATTAAAGTCCTACTATGTCAATAGTTTTTTTATTTCTGTAATTTCATCAATTTTTGCTCAATCATCTTTATTAGAGTCAAGAAAGACAGATCATGCAAGTAATAATTGTTTTAATACAAAAACAGAATATTCATAAAGCTCAATAAAAACCAGAATTTTCTCGATGTTACAAGAATATAGCTATTGTTAGCATGGCCATAATATTAAAAATTCATATTAAAAATGAAGCCATAACATTAAGCCTAAAAGTATAGTTACTTATATTAAAAATTTAAATGATACCAACCAATGAAGCAATCATATAGCTAGCTAGAATCTTTAAGTTGAAACCAATTTATTTATAAACCTTATTTATTTACCAAAGACTAATTAATTGATGAAGCTAAGGATCCCGTAAAACTTTACTCTGCACCTTCCCTACTTCATTCACATAAATATAACTCTACTTCATTTACTTAAGTAATCACATATTAACCTAACTTAGTTTCAATAAGTATCAATTGCAAATAAATCATATTAACCTAATCTATGTATACTAAGTGACTGGACCTTAAGAAAACTACACCTAATCACTAAAATACCATTTAGAATACATGGTACACACAGACAACTTCACCTTCAACCACATATAACAACTAATAGATTCCAGACATAAAATCTATAAGAAGATCTATGCATACTTTGCTCAAAAAATGCTACACCACATCTTTAAAAAATCTCTACTAGCAAACAATAACCTTACACTATTCAAGATTCCCATCACATTTGTACACTCTAAACTATTTTAACAAATCAACCATACTATTTTGATAAAAATTAAACTTATGCAATAAATAAATGAATAATAGTGAGTACAAATGAATAATACTGAGCATTATAAACTGACATTAACAAAATTTCATCAATTTAGATTAATAATCCATTTTAACAAATCAACCATACCTTGCTCATCCATTTTAATGATTCAATTTTAAATCATTGTCTAGCATTATAAAACATGATTATGAATCTTAATTGATAAAACATGATTAATTCTAATCGTTTTGAGCATTAAACTTGATTATGAATCCTTAATCATAATATCCTAAAGATATTACACTTATGCAATAAATAAATGAATAATTGTGAGTACAAATGAAAAATACTGAGCATTATAAACTAACATTAACAAAATTAAATAAGTAATTTGATTCCATTACAATAATACTGAGCATTATAAATTGACTTTCTTCATACTCTAGATTCCTCAATAGATTTTGCACAATAAAAACATAATCTAAGATGTTGAATCACCCACTATATTCAATTATCATACTAAAACACATGCAACTGAAACTCATGGAAATTATCTGCTAATACTCATAGGTTAACCATACATTCTGATCCAGTTAAATTATCTTCTGCCATAAATTTCACATTACAAACTTAAATAGTCAGAAATTAGCACAGTAAAGCAACTAAGATCAAAGCACTAGCTAACCTACTAACCTCCAAACCTTGGCTTCTTCACATTGGAAGTTCCAGCACACATGGAAGAAACTCAGGACATGCCTTCCTTTTCAAAGTTTTAATGGCCGCCGCTTCTTCTTCTTCCAGTTCTTTAAAGGCTTCCTTGCCATTCGCCTCCAAATCTCTAGCAAACACCTTCAACTGACGCCGCACCCATGACCAGTAGCTCTTCAGCCTCTCATACGTAGTGTCCTCAGGAGCCGGAGACCAAACACTGCCATCCTCAATCGTCAAATCAATAATTTCATCACCCATTTCCTAAACAAAGAAAATTAATCGAAGAAAAAAATAAACCTAGCCTATTAGAAAAGCTCCAAACAGAGAAAACACAAATGGGAAGAAATAAAATAACCAACTAATTATTTCATTAAATTATATCACTCATTCCAATATATTTAGCTACTTTAACATCTTACCCAAATTAAGAAGGTATATAAAGCAAAAGCAAATTTAAATTAAAAATAAAAATAACAAAGTGATATATACCCCTACCATTAGTTCATATGTGAATTTTAGTTGAAAGGGTATCTTTGAATTTTATATTTTTCTAAATATTTACTTCGTATTTCTCTTTAGTAATTTGGAGAAATCATACCCCTTTTTGTTTAAATTTTAGGTACTGGGATTTTGGGAAAAATAGATAAAAATTTGATTTGGGTTGTATAATTTGGATCATTGGTTCAAAATAACAATAAATTAGAATGATGGTTTGGGTTTGAAAACATAGATAATTAATGGGGAAAAAATTCTACATTTAAAATGGCTAATTAGATTGAATTGTATATTTTAATAAACCCAACATTAAAATATGTAATTTTAAATCTTATAGCTCAAGATTAAAATATTTTAATAAACCCAAAATTAAATTTTTTATAATAAACCCAAGATTTAAATTTTTTATAATAAACCCAAGATTAAATTATTTTAATAAGACCAAGATTAATGATCATTTTTTGCTACATCTAATTTCTGTTTTCGAATTTTCTAGAATGTAGGAAAAAATGTACATCTTATAACTGGTTACAGGAACAATCTTATTACACCTGAATTTGATTATGAGAATGATCTTTGTAGTGTTGGTAATGATATAAGTAAACTATAATATCATAGCTTGACACATTTGATCTAATAGTTTTATGATAGCTTGACTAAAATAGCTATATTATGATATAGGGGTAATTGATCGACTTTTGGAGCAATGTCGTACTGCAGCCTGCAGGATATTGATTATCCCCAGAGTTGCTTCTTTGTTATAGGTAGATGATTAATAATTCACATATTACAAATGGTTGATTTTCCATGCTGCAATTGTCATTAACTCAGTAAGAATATGTGGTTTCCCTAACAGTATATAAATCAAACAAACAATACTGCGTTGGAATTGTAGAAGTATTTTGTCCAAATTCATTCAAAATAGC